ATATATAATAACAACAAATGGACGTTGGTTTATATATAAGCGGTAAACTCCAACACTGTGTGACCGATATCCATGAAAGTTGGCTCATCTACATGTTTTTTCATTGAGGAGGATTATGTGCTGGTAATTTTGTTGTAACTCTACAATGTGGCACTGCGGAACAAAATTGTGCTTCAGTTTAATTCAATTTCATTTCAAACTGCACTTGAACTGCAGGCTACATTGTTGCTGAACATTGCTACATGACACAGGGCAAAGCCCAAGAGAACCAGACGCATGAACGAGAGAGGCAGAGAGAGAAAGATAGATATAGAGTGTGTCAAGAGACAGTGACAGAGAGACAGGGCCAGAAAGATACAGAGATAGAGAGACAGATACAAGACAGACAGACAGAGGCAAACAAAGGGAGGGACCGAGACAGAGAGATGTAGACTGAGAGACAGAGGCAGGGACAGACACAGACGGAGGACAGCGACATGCTTTAGAGAGAGACAGACAGATATAGAGAGACAGACAGACAGATATAGAGAGACAAACAGAGACAGAAAAACAGAGAGAGAGAGGAAGATACAGAGAGAGATATGGAGACATTTTCTTTTCACAAGGATTGAAAATGAAAAAAAACAAAATTTGCTAGTTATTAGCATAAAAGTTGCCTAATATCTAATTCTGAATATTATGTATAATTTACCTTAAAACAAACTTCCAATATGTCAGCTATGTTTATAATTAAAAATATGGTCATCTTGATGTTAAAAGCTATATTGACTAATACAGAAACAGTTTATAAAACATTACAAATATATAAATTCAAAGGTTTGTTTATTTTTCATGTTTAAATTTGCCTTTCTGCTTATTATTTCTGAACCTTTCTTTAGAGATATGGATGTGTGCGTAGTAGTCCTTTGATGCAAAGTTCGCGACTGAGTTAACAAAGTGGAGGGATTTTAATGCCATGAATGCCCGCAATATAAAATGCCTGTAACTAGTAATGTACTTGAGCTTCTGGGTGAATGCCGCTCATCTTGATCAGAGATTTTGTCTACTTTCCCTGATTCATTGAACAAATGTTGAGGAGGCCTCTTGTTTTGGTACTAGTGGTAGGAGTAGAGCATGGCTTGTGTTGCTATTTTGTTAACAATACTGTAAAATCAAATCTGTAATACGTTTACTGATACAAATCATTTTTTCAATAACTCGAGAGCAAAAATTTCTTGTTTTTCAAATGATGCTAACCTCGTTTTGTTAGTGCTTTTTATTCATTTAACTGTGTATAGTAAACGGTTGAGGAAGAGATTCTGGACCTCAAGAAAATGAGCATAGATGTCACACAGTTTTTATGTTCTGACCAAAATCAAATCAAATGACCAAAATCAAATCAAGCCACCCAGCAGTGTTTGTTTCAAGAAATCCCCACGCTGTACTCAAAATCGTATTCGCCCAGGTCCATGCTCATGTGTCAGTGTGATCTCGTATTTTTGACTTGGGAGGTATGTAGAGGGAATTGCAATGCTGTGAGGGGCTTTTTGTCTGGATGCATTGATTGATTACTAGTGCTTCCGAGTGCATCAACTGCTAAGGTCATTAGTCTATAAGTGTAGTTTTTTTGCTCCGGAGGTGGCTGTGATCTTGCCTTGCTGGACAGCTAGCAGGGATTTCCCCAATCAGGTACGTCCCTCCACTGGGGCACTGCCCCAGCCAGGACAAGCTGTAAGCTCCCACCAGTCTCCCAGCATGTGTGGCGTGTAAGTGTAGGAGTGTGTAAGGGGTGAGGAGAGGACAAGGAATGGGAAAGAAAGATTGCGCACACACTGTGTTCTGTTTTTTAGGGTACTGTTTCAGCATTTGCCTGGTATTGATCAGAGAAACCATGAAAAACTACTGATCAGAGCTGCCAGCTTCTAGAATTCTCCTTCAGACAACAATAGAACTCAAACCAGCTATCTGGGTAAAATCTGATTTGTTGAAAATCTTGCCACCATCTGGACTCAAACCCTAGGACCTCCTGGTCAGAGGCACTGCAGTGACATCACTTGTAGCCCTGATCCACCTCTCCTGATTTTTGGCTGGAAGCTTGTCGAGAAAACTGAAACGGGTGTGTTTCATCATGGTCCGTTGATAGCTTAAAGGCACAGTGTATATTTGTAGATTCAATGGTCATGTAAATAAACATTGCCTGTATACTACTATCTTGTCTGTTGACTGATCCAATGCTGATGACATCACACGGAAACCTTCCGATATTGAAGCTAGAGATTTCTTTCTTAATGTAATCCATTCGTCTATGTAATATAGACTATATAATATAGCCCTTTCAATTTGTCTTATAAATTTTTCTTTTTTGCCCTTCATAAGAAGAGAAAGCATTGTAATTGTGCGCCAGAAAACAGTGAATTTTCGATGGAAAAACTCTTACTGCCATGCCCAAGTAACGATAAAGTCGATAAATCTTGTTCCTATAATTAGTGAATTACTTCCTCTAACACATTGTGTAGTCATACTCGATTGAAGCAAAACATCTGCTTGTCCTTTTGTCTCTGGTCAATCCTAGCATCTAAAACATTCTGCTGATTTTCTTTAAAATGGATATTTTTGATCGATTTGAAGGAACTTGAGGCACTCGAGTTTGAAACAGGTATTTTGATGTTCCGAGCTACTTTACATGATACCTCAATTTTCTTCAGTAATAAATGAATAATTCATTTCAGAGGCCTCAAAAGAAAATCAACTTTACTTTAAAGAAATTAATTTAAAGCTTTTAATCTTTTTTTTTTTATTTTTTTTTTTTATTTTTATTTTGAGAGTTGTTAAGCATCGTACTTGCGTATTAAATGCTATTTAAAAAATATAAATCTAGAAAAAATCTGTATAACGTTTTCTTTTGAAATTTTTACACAAAACAGAAGTATTTTTTATCTGTAAGTTGATCTGTGTACATTTTTTGTCATACACAAGGTAGCTAATAATTGATCAAACACGCGCGCGCGCATGCACGCACGCGCACACACGCACCCCCCACACACA